GAGGTTATCTCTAACGCAAAGTAAGATATCAACCTTATCACCCTTCGTCGATGATGTCTCGAGCAACCTAAAATAACACAGAGGCATTAAGAGTCGACACCTAAGTGATAATTAAGCCTAAATCTATCTCTAGAGCTTAGAACCGAATAGATGTTAATCCTAATTCCAGATTCAAATCATATATATCTATAGCAACTCAAACCCAAACACTTAGCAAGCTAAAAAGGATAAACAACAATAAATATTTGTAAAGAAAGCTTCATACAACACCATGAGTAATAAATATACATACAAGATAAAGCATAAATACAAACAAAACCCCAACATAATAGAGACTACAAAGAGAGAAAAAGAGATAAATTGACACTTCTTGAGTTGTCAAGACGATTGGTGAGAATCCACCTCTGATACAATAACTTGCAAGCTCCATATGTTGTTGTCTAAGCTCTCAAAATCAAAAGAATAGAAGGTTGATGGAGTGGGAGCAAAAAATACCCAACCATACCTTAAAATTTGTGTTTTTTTCTCTAAATATGAGTTTATGCCCAGACGGCACCGCCCGACGCTCAAAATAACATTTTATTCTGCCTCTACAATTCATTTTCACACTTCTGTGGCGCCTCTGCACCGTACGGCGAGCTCGGGGGCGTTGTTGACAACAAATTGGAAATTCAGCACTTGTTTTCGCCATAACTTTAGAACCGTAACTTTGATTTGCACACGGTCAGAAGCGTTGAAATGCTTATTAAATTCCTTAACTAACAATTATTAAATATCATTTCTTGAATACCTACAAAAATGATATAAAAATAATTAAACTCAATGATATTTACATGTTAACGCAATGTATACATTATAACGTAAACTATACAAAATGTACAAAAAGTTTAGGTTTATTGACGAAAAGCAAAGTAATTAAGCCGATGAGTGCTAATTATTCACACTCAAATTCACAAAAATTTAGCACTCATCACACTCTCCCTAACTTAGACTTGTTTGTCCCTAAACAAGAATTAATCAACTCAAAGAAACAAAAGCGACATCCAAGCAATTACGCCACAACAAGTTTTGACAAGCGAAAACAAATGCAATGGTTTAAACAAAAACGGTACACACAAGGCAACATACTTAGCACTAACTACAACGACAACATAATCTCAAAACAAACGCTAAGTACAAAAATTATGCCAAATATTTCAAAACAACAGGAGTTCAATCATGAATCCCACATAGCAAAAATTCATCAATGGATGAAAAAAACACAAAGGTGAGGATTTGACACTCCTTCAACAATCTTGCAAATAAAAGACAAAATTATGCATTCATCCAAAAGTTCACATCAAAAATATAAAAGCAAGAATCACAAGGGCTTTTCAAGGTTGTAAAGTGGCTTGGTTAACAAACAAGGGGGAATTTCTAAAGGTAATTGAAACAAAAACTTGTCTAATCCTAAGGGAGTGATCAATTAAAAAAGTCTTAAGCACCAAAATTAAATCAAACTTTCTTCTCTCATCCCAAGTGTTACACCATAAAACTTATTAACACAATATTATTTGATACTCTTTTTGTTTTTCTTTTTCAAAACTTTTTCATCTTTTTTTCTTTCTTTTTCTTTTCTTTCTTTTTTATTTCCTTTCTTTTTTTTATTTTCTATTTCTTTTCACAACCGCATAGCAACCAAACACGAAAGTAAGCAAACACTTCTCTCCCTAACTCTAATTCAACCAACATCAAAGTGTGAATACTCCATACTTTCTAAGGTAAGGTAAAAGTTCAAACCATAAATCATGGTTGAGGATTCAAGAAAACAAAGATAAAAAAAGTGAACTAAACACTCATAGACAAGCATAAAGATCAGATGAAACATGGATATTGACAAAAAGGCTCAAGGGGTTAATAAATACTCACACACTCACAAGGTGAATTGACTATTTGGTCAGGTAGTTGTACTCAAAATGAAACAAAAATGCCTTGATTTTTTTCATGCTTTCATACAATCAACACAAAATAAAGATTAAACATAATAAAATCCAGTTAAAACAAAAATTGTTGGTACTCCAAGCATATGGTAAACAATGGAAAGCTTCCTCACAATGGGGTAGGAACTAAAGTGATTCAATTCATGAACAAGTAGTAGAATAGAATGAATGACATGAAATTTGTAAAAAGCCTAAGTTTCATATACATGTCATAGTCTAGAAAGCGATAAACACATACCTTGAAAAGGTACAAAACTGTAAACAATATCATTACCATGCATTCGCAAGTTGAAATGATCAAACTTGGAAAAATTACCTCAAATTTCCTCAAGATACTCAAAACAAGCTCTTAGACAAACACAAAAATAACACATTAAAACAACTACTATAAATATAGTAAAAGACCGGGTGAAAGTGGATAAACAAGTTGAAAAGTGAAGATTGAGAATTTTAAGGTTGGTCCAATTTCAACTTATTTAGCCAACATTCACCAGACTACCTCTACTACTACAATGAAAAACAATAAAGCAACTAAAAACATTAAAACATTCTTATTTTACGTCGTTAGCTCGACACCTATGTGGCAACCCAAAATTTTCCCTCCTAATGTATTAATATTTGACTTAGGCTTTTGCATTCATCTGCATATATTCCATTAGGTTACTAACATAGCATACATTTTTATTCAATAAAGCTCATGAGGTTCAATGTTCAGTGGTTGTGCGATATTGGGGTTTCACAGTGCTTAAGGTGTTCGTATCGAGTAAAACTTAATTCTTCTGATTCATCTAGATATTCTTCAAGAAGTGAGGTAGAGATTTAGGGTTGTGAGTCGTGGTCATTAAGAATTTCTTCTTTATCAAGCTACATGGTCATTCGCTCTAATTTCATCAATTCTAAAGAATAAGGTTTATTTCCCACGAGTTTAGGATTTTGAGCAAAGTCATCATATGGTGTGCTTTATGGTATTTAGGTTTTCTTTATTGCTTTGAGGCTCTCATCTTCATACAAGGGGACCTACAATCATCAGGGGTTTCTTCTTAATATTTAGATTTTATTCAAATCATTCTATGGGATTTCATTCAAGGGTCTTTAGATTTAGACATGGAAGTTATTGAAATTTATTGAGGGCATCTTCAGCCTCTTGTGCTTGTAATTATCAGATGGATTAGGGCTTGTATGAATTTTCTTATTAAATAAACAGAGTTTTGGTTGACTTTCATAACTTATTCAAGGTTGATTCATTTTATTACTTGAGATACAAGTCACTACCTCTGGTCTTGAGAAAAAATTGAAGTCTACAGGTTGTGTTGTGGATTGTTCAAGTTGGAAAAAAACATTAGGTGAAACATTGATGTTCACCTTATTTCATGATTCATTCGAAAAGTGGCAAAGTGAAGAAAGGATTATAAATTCAAAATAACTTGAGGAAAGAGATTTTTCACTCAAAGAAAGCTTCATTATCCAAGTTTCGCCTATCAAGTTCTTTCATGACTCTTTCCAAATAACACTCACTATGATACCAAAAAAATAAGAAGAAATTACAATACATGTCTCGAAATTTTTAAGTTGTCAAAGCCAAGTCTTCCATGCATCAAATTATTTTGGTGTTTTCAAGTCCAAGGATAGGATATAATGTTTCAAGTTAGGTTGATGAAAAATACTTTCGAACTCCAATCAAATGGAAATCCAAATTCAATGTTGAAAATAAATTTGCTTCAAATATTTGGATGCTAGTATTGAATTTTCAAGATCACATATGTTCATCCAAAACCATCACAGACTATATCAGAGTTTAATACAAGTACACCAAAATAAACCATTACATCAAAGAACATTACAAGTTTGCAACTTATCAAAAACCTAGTCCTAATCTTCATGACCAAGTTTCTAATCACCAATCTCCTTCATTTTCCTGAATATTTTCCCAAGCTTCAAGTGACCTTGTGTTAGGTGTCAACTTCAACCATGTTTGTGCTATGCCTAGACCATGCCAATTAAACTTGCCAAAACCTTGCTGAAACAGTTATCATAAACCAACCCATGATCCTTACCTGCATACACCAGTTCATAGAATAAATAAAATTCAGAAGTTTAAACCATTAAACTAGTTCATGTCCAAAATCAGTTCACACCAGAAAACCTATCCATCGTCACATACATATAACAACCTATGTTGCTACTAAAACAAAAATCAATTCAAAATGCTACTAGTTACAACCTTGCATCCATTATCCAGTTCAAGAAAATGTTCAGAAAGTATAAAATCAAAAATCATAAAAATATAATGAATAACCAATTTTAAACCCAGATTATTCATATAACAGAAAACAGAAATTCCGTTTTTATCAGAAGGAAATGTAGAGGAAAAATAAACAGTATATCAAGAAAAGAATTAAATCAGAATAATCAGGGAATAAAAATGTGAAAACAATTTTACAGCTTAGCAACTCTCAAGTCTCTCAATCTCACCATTCATTCTATAACAAACTCTCAAGATCCTAAGGCTCAGATTCAATTCAATCATAACAGAATTTATACAAACTTTAACAAAAAGATAAAAAGAGAATTCTCACTAGATATGATTCATTCTTCAATCTCTGCACAAGAATCACCATTAACCTATCTCTTCACACTCCTTTATCAACTCCATTCTTCCATCATCTTCATCATTCTTCAATCACATAAGAATCACACGGAGAAACTCCAAAAAATATCTAAAACTCTCTCTCCCTCTGCATAATCGAAACTTCATCTTCATCGATTCAGAGCAACCTTCAATCACCTTCATTAATCTTCATCTTCATCAAGTGTCTGCTTCACAAACAACACCATGACTCCACCTTCCAGCAACAAACTTCACTGCTTCATCTATTCACCTTCATGTAGAATCTTCAACCTTTTTCTTCTCTGAACATTGATCTTCTTCAATCATCAGTGAATTATCAAGTACTTCAAATATCTCAAACATCCCCCTTCAATCGTCATTTTATCTTCATAATCTTCATCATCTTTATTGTATCATACTTGTAAACTGTTTACACCTTTCTCTGCAAAAACCTTCATCAACGCAACAACACACAATTTCAGTATCAACGGAATTCGCAAGATTAACATCAACACGCACAAGTCAAGATGACATATCACAACAGAAAAATCGTGGGACAACACGCATAGAAATCCGAAACTCCCAAGGAGAAGAAGAAAATAAAATATAACATGAAGTGTATCCACCATCATAATCAACGTCTCCTCGCTGTCGCCGGAGGTAGGCCTTTGTGTTCATCCTTTTAGCTCATTCTTTATACTATAAGATATAGGTTTTTTTCTTTAAAATTAGAGATAAGAGAGGGCGTGAATCAGATATTTATATCGAAGATAAGTTTGAGGTGTCGTCAAAGAAAAAATTCGGAGAAGATACGAATCTATTAAACTCCACGGAGGCGGAAGGTTGTGTTGGAGCGAGATCAAAGAAAGTAGAAGAAGAAGGTCGCGTCCCCGTTTGAGAGTGAAGAAGAAGTTACGTGAAAGATGAAAAGCCACAATGACTTGAACCCTGTCCTCTCAAGCAAAATGCATCGTTTTACCATCTTTCCCTTTATTTATTATTGTTATTTTGATTTTTCAAGTGTTGACAAATATTGAACGATCAACATGGATATTTGCTTTGGATGGGTGATTGAGTGGGCCATGGGTTAAATCATGCTTGCAGTAAGCCCGTGGAATTTTTTATGTACAAGTGGATTGATGTACATACAAAAACAGGTCTACTGGACCATTCCTTGGGCTCAGTTCCTGTTACTAGCTCACACGCCACTAAATTACTGGCTTGCACCCCCTGAGATTATTCTATTAGTAGTTTCTTTTATATAATTTTGTGAATTGTTTAGATTTTTTTTTGAACTTTTATCACATGATAAAATAATTACAAAATCAAATATAAATTTGGTAGAGTTTTTTATTCGATTTTAGGGTTTAAATCATGATTATTTGATTGCTCGAGAATTGTGATTCACCTTTGTTTGTCGATATTTAAGTCTCATGCAGGTTTATTGTGTCATATGTGGATGTGCTTGAGATTCCGATTGATATTTATTTTCACATATTTGATGCTTCCACATTTATTCCGAGCATCTGATTTCTGAATCTTCTCTATTTAATTAGTGAAGCTTACTAGAAGTTTTACGGGTTTCTTTGCTTTACTTGTTGTGCTACGAACTCTTGTTCGTTTGGTATCATTCTGATTCTGGTTTATTTTTCCGCACTTCACCGCTTTCTAGATATCATGAGAAGTAGGATAATAAAGAGCGTGCACTCGAAGTCGATGGGGAGGTACTTTGAGTTTGATGGGGTTTCACGAAATTAAAAGAGGAATTTGAGGTTAGAAGTTGAAATGTGAGTGGGTATTAATGTGTGTTAATGAGAAGTTAGAAACAGGAGAGAGTGGGACAGTTATTTAGGGTGAATGGTAGAGTGGGTTTTAATTTGGGATGGTTATTGGAGGAAAAAGGGAAGAATGGAAAGGAATAAGAGAAAACGAGGGTATAAGTCAAAATAAGAAGAAAAAATGTTTATGTGTTATAAAGCCGTGGAGAGGGCCACACATATTGGGAAGTCGTGGTGAAGGCCACGCACCTGTGGCGAGGGCCACGGGTTGAAATCTCACAACTTTTTAAGTATTTTCCTCATACAGAAATAATATAATTTTTTTTAATAAACTCTTCATACTGAAACTAAATAAATTGACATAATTTTACTAAATACTAAAAATACCTACTGTATTAGTCAAAAACTCAACAAAAATTTGGAAAACTACAAAATAATCTAGAAAATATTAAATCTAATCTAGAAAACAGAACAATGGAAATCCTAAATTAAGAAAACAATGTAAATCCTAAATTAAGAAAACAAATTAAATCCTAAATTAAGAAAACAATGGAAATCCTAAATTAAGAGTTAATCTTTTCCCCACACATTAAACAAGGCAGTGTCCTCACTGTTCTAGTGTGAGAGTCAGAAATGCAATAAACTTCATATGCATTAGCCACTACGTCTAAAATGAGGAGCAACAAAATAAATATGTTGAAAGATGTGATCAAATTGCTTAGTCAGTACGTCCATAAATCTGTTGAAATCAGTGCGCAGAGGTGTAAGATCGTCTATAATGTTAACAATGTCGGTTTTTAGTGCATTGAACGCACTAGTGTGATCAGGCTGTGGAGAGACCAGAGCAGCAAAGGCGCAAGAAGTTGTGTCAGAGAGATAGCCTTTAGATTGCAAAGCATGGTAATCGGTAGCGTAATCAATTGGGGGTGGTGCAATGACTGGGAAGGCAACATGAGGGTTGGCATGGTCGGGGGATGGAAAATAGTGGTAAAGTGGAGGGGTCGCAGGGTCGGTTTCAGCATCAGAGAGATAGTTATCAATGTGGTCATAAATTTGGGGTGTCTCAGGAGAAGTTGGTGGTTCATTTTGGGGTACTCCCAAATCAAACAGCCAATTATTATTATTATTTTAATTATAAAGAGAGGTTGAGGGATAATAATAATAATAATAATAATAATAGTAGTAATAATAATAATAATAATAATAATAATATAAAATAAATGGAAAAGAGAGGTTGAGGGATATAAACTAACAAAACGTGAAACAAGAGAAAGGGAGAAGAGGAAGCTAAGGCTCAAGGGAAAATGAGACCACATTGTTAAGAGATAGAAAAACTTTCAAGAACTATAAGGTAAGGGTGGAGTTCTAATTATCTAAGGGTTTGTATGTTGATGGTGGGTAGATTATGTCTATGCTTGGTTTTGTGTTTTTCTTCTTCTCTCAGTTATATAATCATGGTTGCAATTTTGTAATTGTTAGATTAATTGTGTGGATAATGCAATTGTAAGTTATTGAAGAATTAGATGTGTTAGAATGTTGTATAATGATGTTGTGGTTGATAATTGAATGGTAAATTGTATAATTTTGTTGTTGAAATTATGCATTTGAATGAATGGTGGATGTTGTGTTGTTATGTATGGTTGTGAGTCAGCGTCGGAACTAAGTTATGAGTGTTTTCTATGAAAAACATTTGGGGTTTGAAACCTGTTATATCCCAAAAAATTTCCTCTCATTTTATTCAAAACCTACTCCTAGAGATCCTCAAATGCTCAAGGTTGACCAGACAAATTCTCGTCCTAAGCAATAGACTTCCAACTAGGGTTTCACTTTTCACAAAGAAGTTTAGGTTTCAAAGGCCTCAAGTGATTTTCATGTCTCCTAATATGTCCTCAATAATTCTCATTCCAAGTTCCATGCCTTGCATCACAAGTTTGCTCAGTCAATTGCTCAGATGACTGAAAATCAATTATATTAGGTCAAAAGTCAATTGTGGTCAATATACAGTAAAACTTCAAGATTTTTGGTCAACATCAATATTTTGAAGTAATATTCATCATTTGATCAAAGGTTGATCATGATTCCTCAAGGAATGCTCTCAAATCATCAAGAATCAAAAGTTACTAAATTAGGGTTTCCTAGGAAAAGTCAACTGAACTTTGACTAGGCATAACTTTCACATGCTTCATCCATTGTTCCCCAACCAAAGCTCATTTTGAAGAGAATCAAATTCTCTACAACTTTGTTTATATTCTCAAATCCAAAAAATTCATCATTGGAAATATATGAGCCAAAACATTACAGGTCTTTTTGAAAGTCAACAAAAAGGCATTTTTTGTCAAGGCAAGTTACATCAAGATAAGTTCTCCAAATGCAAAAATGATCAAAAGAGAGATTGTAGGGGACATCCTGGGATTTCCAAAAAGTCCATGATTATATTCAAAAGATGAAAATTGAGCAAGTTATAACTAGTGCAAGTTGGGAAATTTTGGTGAAAAACACAAAGTCCATATTGAGCAATTTTGAATTTCTAAGCTTATGGGCCTATTTTTTGAAATCCAGACATGTTTATAACATGTTAGAAGTCTTCAAAACCCATTGGTGCATGACCATGACTTTTATTCTATTTATTCCAATTTTTATTTAATTTCTGCAAAAAAGAATTAACTTAAAATATTAAATAAATGGATTAAGATATAGATGGGCTTCAATTGCATCAGTCAAGGGCCCAAGAAGCTCATGAATAGCTGTCAAAAACATGCAAAAATAGAATGGAAGGGGTTTGAAGAAAAAATGGAGACTTTTGATACAATTTCAAATATGATATTTTTTCATCAACCATAAGGATTTTATACCAATTTTGTTAACCTAATTCCTATCACATATAAGCACAAGCCTCACACCTCACAAGGATATGCGCAACTGCCTGAAAGGATCTCAAAAATTCACAAAAAAATCGTCAAAGTTATGAAATTTGAAACCTACATTCCAGCCTTCCTTCGTCCAATTTCGTGTCATCATTGCACTCCTGAGGTCTCCTGGAGTCACCTTCATCCCTCACCTTATCCTGAAGCAAGCCTGAATCATCCACACGAGCATCACTGATTGGTATATTTTCTTTGGATCCAATCTTACTTAATATGCATTATTAATTAATTTAATGTTTACATACATGTTCATATTGATGCTTAAGACAGGTTTGACGTGATGCATACGAGTTTTGAAGCCTAGAACACGAGGTGACATTGTTAGAGAATCCATGGTTGTTGGAGTTTGATCTCTTAGTACAGGGACTTTCAGACCAATCTAATGCCAGAATCGAACTCAGGGCTCGATTTTATATGGGATAGGTCTTTTAATCAGTCTTAAATCTCGCATTTTTTACAGGTTTTGATTTTGGTGTGACCGGAGGTTTGACTCCGGTAGCTTGGGTGTCGCATCACTATTGGTCCATTTGAATCAGTTTTGGCGCACATTTGAAAATTTGGAAATTTGACTGAGTTTATATTATATTATTATCGTTTTATTATACTAACGATTGAGTTGAATGGCCCAACAATAATAAGCGTGCGTGAAATGTTATTCCCTCCTAAGGGGCCTGGGTTCGATCTCGCCCTTTTGCATTTTATTTCTTCCACATTTGTTTCCTACAGATCCAATACTCCAAGTCCCAATGCGTGTACCATGCGCCATCACTCTCAGCCACTAGATCATCACAAATCCAGATCCAACACCCCAGGCGCGTTCCCCATGATACACCCTCCTGAAGTTGTCCTTACTGAATCCAGTGCTGGCATAATGGGCCTGGATCCAGTTTTCAAATTCACACCCCCAGTCTGCTTCACAACAACAAGTCC